TTTGGTTCTCAATTATTCAAAAAGAATAGGTGCGGCTTCTATTAGGAATGCGACTTCTAATACAGATTTTACGGTACCCATTTATACTATCTTTTCGTGTCAACAGACTCATAATGAGAGACAGCATAACAAATGGTCAGTTGTCTCACAGACACTGCCACTCTTTGCGACAAGTACATTTTATGTGAACTGACGATACGAATAGTACATGAGACTGATGGCTTTATATCCTCTTTCAAATAGGAGCTATTCTTCCTTATACGAATGTCGCAAGCCTGAGCAAAATATACTCTCATTTTCTTGGAAAGCCACATCTTTTAATATTGGCAAAGGTCAAATTTATTTTATTCATTACATTAGAAGATGTGGGATTCTCAGATTTGTTAAGAACACTGACTTACCACACAAAGACCAAAACTAATTATATCTTACAAAGTTTGTAAAAATAAATGTAAAGGATATCCCGCATGACTTGAAGTATTCGAACTGTTTTTATACATTGATGTTTGATAGCTCTATCGTCAGTTTCCGTTGGAGGCTGTAGCTGTTCTGACAGGGTAGGTAATAGTAAATCAATCCGTGGTGACAACTGGGAAGTCAAACCCGAATGAGACATCTCCTGAAGAAACAACAAAATTTGACAAGGATGAGTTCTCTAAATACCATCATTTATTTTTCTGCCAAATAGATTTTCTGTTTACTTTGAGATCTCACATATTGCATGAAAGGTGCAGACCAAGCATCTGCCATAAAAATCAAACAATTTGATTTGGAAATTGAATTTTATAGCTCTATGTCAAAATGCTGATCTTTCATAGAGGAATACTGCGTTGAGATACCCATATGTCATAAAAATTGATCAGCATCAAACATGTATGGCATATTATTAAGCATGAAAATACTAAAATTACTTTTATGTTTGTCAAATTCCATGTAATGTTTTTTTTATGAACTTTGTGTGTCCTGTTTTTACATTTTAACTTGGGATGCCACATTAAACAAAAAATGGTCCATTACTGGTACAACAAGGGTTGTGTTACATATACAGTAAGCACCAAAATAAACTGATCCCAAAAATGTTATTTCCCTATTAATTCTTGGAAATATTGCAACATCCCTTGGCACATTCTCAGTGATGTTTGTATGACTTTGCATTCAATTAATTGTTCATGATATGCACATTAAAAATACCATTATATTTAGTGGTGAATTTAAAATTAAATTGTATGCTTGTGATCACATAATTTATTGTGGTAAATGCTTCTATTATGCAAATATTCACCATTTTAGTAATATTGTAATGTACACCAAGAAACATTGCCCACAAAATCATCTGTCCATGGGCACCATCTGCAGCGTGATTCAGAACAGGGCAAGTCAACAATTGTGATATAAATTAATAACCACAATTTAAAGCGAAGGGGTACAGGAATTGATTGTAAGCGACGATGACAATGCATGGGTAATGGCACTGTTTTTAAAAACAACAACATGCTATGGCTGACATACATAAATGACGGCTCCCGCACATAGGTAAAATTGAAATTGGAAAAACAAAGTGTATTTTGTTATGAGTTTTAGCACCCATTACCCTGACGACAATGGTTTTGACCATAGGCACTAGCTGTTAGGATTGAAAGTGCCAAAATCAAAACAATGTTACAAGAAATATTGATAGGGTTTCCATGATTAGTTTATTTCGCTGTGTAAGTTTTTAACTTTGGACATATTTTTGTAGTCCACACATATTCTAAAGACAATGAAATGTTATCCAGAACAAATACTTTACCTCATACATTTCTTTGAGGAAATCCAACGCCAATAGCGGCACTAATTCATGGGTGGTGTAGGACTGACTTGCCCAGTGTAATATAGCAAAGAACGGTTCTGTTGTGCCAGCTTGTTGTAGCTGCTTGACTGAATCACCATTTTGTAAGGATGCTGATGACATCAAAGTTTGACATACAGTACATCGAAAACTGCTGACTTTGCAGAATGCGAGCAACAATTCAAAAGCCTAAAAACAAAATATCAAATGTATTTTTTAAGTAATATACATGTAGCAATGAATCACTGCTGTGATGTAGATGTGTGATAGCACTCAGGTTTTATTTGGTTGTGTAGGTATTTGCCCTAAATAATGTTTAGTTGTTGCTCCACAACCTCAAAACTTTTGAATATATTTACCTTTGCTACATCCTCAGATTCAGAATTCCTTGTGAGTAATTTTAAGATTTCCTGTATTCCACTAGACAAATCTTCAAATCTAGGAATAAACACACATGAAACTGATGAGTATCACTGTTTGTTAACTATAATAGACATTTTCCATTCACTGCAAGATCCCATGTGATGTTTGAATCAAATGTAAAAACAGGACAAACAAGGGTCGTAGTTGAAACATCGCCAAACAAAGGCAAACAATTTATGCTTAATAATGTGCTATACACTTTTGATTATGGTCAATTTTGATGAAGTATGTATGTATATCCCAAAGCCATATTCCCCTCTGATAGATGGGCACTGATCTATCAAAAAAGAATAATCATCATCAAATTATTTGCTTGTTGTGGCAGATTTTCGAACTGCTTTTTTCATGTATTATCCAAGATCTTGCAGTGAACTGAAATC